CCCCCCCCCCCCCCCCCCCCCCGGTGGAGTCTTATCAGAACTGTGCCGGCTGACCATCATCTTATCAGGACAATGGACTATCTGTTAGTGCTTCATGGACCGTCTTGTCGTAAATGCAAATGTAACGTGTTCATAAATGTGCTTTAGCTGGCAGAGTTTTTGATGTTTAAATCGTGTCCTGTTAGGACACGGTGTGAAGATCTTTTTTTGTAATGCCACTATCCTCTTCTAATGGCTTTGTCCCTTTTTCTATCTAAAAATGTGTTCTGAAAAGGATAAGGCCGCGCTTTACAGCAGCAGCTTCGTGCACGCCGCCCATCTTTCGGACGGCTGTACGGACATATTCTCGTATCTCGATGCAATGATAATCAACTTATTCTGATTCTGATCTTCTGTTTCTATCTGAGCCCAAACTCTGCTCGCAGAATGAAAGCAGACTCCTCACACACAGCTGCCCTTGTTTTTGTCCTTTTCATCATTTTATTCTACCAGAGTTCGGTATCTGCTGCAGCTCTTCAAGGCGACCTAGTTTGTGTGGAGCAGCGTAAATCCTGCGCCCCCTGAATGAACTGAGGACTTTCTTGGCTGTCTGACTTCAAACAGACTTGGATAGTAGTACAGCCATGAGCAGAAGTAGAAAACATAGTTTCAGCTGTCAGGAAGGTGTGTTTGGTGTGTGACCACCATAATTCTCTGTCCCTGAAGTTTCAGTTGCTGCAGCTCGTAGTTTCTGTCTTAACAGCTGCAGTCCATGCTTTTGTTTATACTAATAGCTTTTTGACATAATCTATACTACAAAACATAAAGCTGTCTAAAAGTTTCCTTTTTTATCCTTTCAGCACAGTTGCACTTATCACACCACAAACCAGATGCATAAAATGAAATTTTACCATCTGACACAAAAAGGCAGACATTTGCATCAAACTTTAATTTCATTAATGAGGAGGGAGTGTTTACTGCAGCCTTCTCTTCTTCAAGGAAAAGTTTACAAGACAGTGGTGAGACCAGCTATGTTGTATGGTCTGGAGACAGGGACATGGACAAAAAGACAGGAGAAACAGCTGGAAGTGGCAGAAATGAAGATGTTGAGGTTCTCCTTAGGATGGTAAGCTTAGGGTTCATGGTGCAACATCAAGATTGAGTTCAAGGTTTCCATTCTGGAAGTTATTGCCAAGTTTCGTTTTACACTTTCTGTCCACAACGTGTCCCTGTGCCGTCTCCATCAAGCTGTCTCCGCTGTAAAGCTTAGATTTATATTTCAGAGAGACGATTAATAATTAAATGTGTAAATTTGTTGGCTGACCTCGGTGTTGAATGTGCTTCTGCATGCTCCTGCTGCTTGGCTCAGGGAAATGTTTGTGAGCAGCAGGAGCATTTATCCTCTGTCAGGGGTCACTGAATCTCTGAGGGGCATGTTGCAGGGAAGGATGTGACGACTCGCATCAGCACCGCTGTCAGCAGCAGCCAAGTGCGACGGGATTTGTCCACTAGCTGTTGTGCTTAAATTCTCCTGCAGGCTTCATTAGAGATGTGCAGGCAATTATCAAGAAATAATTAAAAAAAATAGTACTGCACACCCAGCAGATTCTTTGTAAGGAATGTCCATCCATCCATCCGTCCGTCCATCCATCCTCTTTTATCCACTTCTTCCTTTTTGGGTCACTGATGCTCATATCCAGCAGTCATTATGTGAGAGGCAGGGGACACCCTGGCCAGGTCCATCACACTCACGAGAGTGACCATTCAGCCTAACATGCATGTTTTTGATCTGTGGGCGGAAACCGGAGTACCCGGAGAAAACCCACACAGCACAGAGAGAACATACAAACTCCACCCAGAAAGGCCCCTGGCCAGGATTCGATCTGGCGACCTTCTCGCTGAGAGGCAGCATCTCTACCACCGTGCCTTTTTAAGGAACGTTTCTTAAAAATTAATTCACAACAGTTTGTTAACCACCTTCTTCTCTGCTTTTTTTTGTTTCTTTATTTACAGCTGAAACTAGAAGATCGATCAATTGTCATTCGAGACATTGTGCGACGGAACCACTCCAATGTAAGTGAAGTCCTCAGTTTAACTTGTTCGTCTTCTCCGAGCCGTTTCCATTTGCCTTTATTTTAATCAAGCCCTTGTTTTAGTCAGCTCCGCAGTTCAACAGGAACATTCTCACAGGCTGACACGTCTGATCTTAGACTGCAACCCCTGTTCAAAAATGTATGCAGTCATTATAAAGGATGGATATTTTTAGTAATTAAAATGTATTCCATAATTGTGGACAATTATTTGATCATTTAAGAAGAATTCTTTCCTATATATGGTAATAGATATTATTTATGAGACAGTTATTATACTTGTCAAGACGATGGTCATTTAAACAATTTACAATATACTTTTTTACTTCATCTCTTATTCCTCATTTAGAAAAGTAAACACTTTGAATTAGTCCATGGGACATCTTGAGTTGTCATCCTTGATGAAACATTTGACCATCATCCACAACTTGCAGTTGATTTCAGAAAAGACCGAAGACACAAATTATTTTCCCTGAAAGCTGACTTTCTGAAATCAAGAAATACTTTGATGCATTGGGCTCATCTGTCCAGCCGAGCCTCAGAAATCTCAGCGTTGTCTTTGAGTCTGCGTTCTTTGGATTGGTCTTTCTAGAGAAACGCTGCTTCAAGACACGTCTCCAAACAACATCTGCTGTCAAAATCTGAATTAAAGATGATTTTATTTGACCTAGTATAGATTACTGTTACAGCCTTTTGGTTGTTGGAATAAGACGGAGCAGAGAGGTCTTCATTCAGTCCAGGACCCTGCAAAGTCTTTTGACAAACACCTCAGGGTTCCCAGCATCTCTGGAAATCAGGGAAAACCTGGAAAATTACTTGATGTTTTCCAGACAGTGACAACTCTGGGAATTTGTAAACTGATCTGCTGATTAAAATATTCTCTTTCTGTGTACATGTATTAATGCTAGTATTCTAGTATCATTGAGTCCATGTTCTGCTTCTACAGTGTACAGAGTACATGTATCCTTACCTATTGGCTATGGTGGCTTTTAATAACTGATAGTACACAATATAATAAATATTAGGAACGACTGCCATAGTTCAAGAATCTTTATTATCCCCAAGGGACAATTTGTTTCACAGTCGGTAGGCACACAACACATCCATACTATACAAGACATTAAGACGTTAAAATAACAGTACAGAACTCATCTGTTCGTTGAGAAGCCTGATCACTACAGGGTTGAATGAGTTTTTCAGTCTGTTCGTTCTACATCTGGGCAGCAGACACCTGCGTCCAGATGAATGCACCCTGAACTCACCATGGAGTGGATGATCAGGATCTGCCAGAATCAGCCTGGCCTTGTTCACTGACCTTGCCTTTTGTAGTGCAAGTACCGTCGGCTACAGTATACTTCCTGTCATCTTTGAATGACTGCCCGCCAGGCTAAGACCTGAGTGTTTCATGTGACTGAAATATCTCCTGGATTTTATGAGTTACTCGAGAAGAATCATGAAAAACTCGAGGAATTTTGCTTTCATGAAATGCTGAGAACATTGCACCTATTTCAGTCTGGCTGCTGATACAGCTTAAAATTTACTGGAAAATAGGAGGATGCGTGAGATAACCGGAGCGCTACATCTGTAGCTTTGTAGCTAGCGTATCTGTATTGCACACCGCTAGCTAAGTGCTTTGTCAGTGCTGGCAGTTGTTGGGGGAGGGTGGGTACCTTGTACAAATTTATTTATTTTAAAATATAAAATAATACATAAACCAACCACCCCTATTATTTGAAAAAAAAAACAAAAAAAAAAAAACAAACAACAACAACTGTTTTATAGTTTTTTTTATATATATATATATAAAAATGTATATATAAATTATAATTTATATATATATATATATATATTTTTTTTTTATTTTTTTTTTTGCTTACAATTTCAGTTTCCTCAAATGATTAGGGTGGCTGAAGATTAATCTATTGGCCACCCCCTGGCTCCTCCATTGCACCTGGTTGTGGATAAAATAACTCCCTCCACTCGTCAGGATCCGTCTCTCTGCACAGACTCAGACAAGAAAAACAGCATATATAAAAAAATATATAAATATTTAAATATATAAAAAATATAAAAAAAATTTAACAACTCTTATCTCCACAGTACAACTCCTGCCCACTTGAATATTTTGTACCAACAACATGAAGGTTCACTTGTATTCTGTTTAATTCCACTCCAGTAAAACACTCATCTCAAAACATCCATCCATCCATCCATCCATCCATCCATCCATCCATCCATCCATCCATCCATCCATCCATCCAA